GAGATTTAAGTTCTCCAGAGACCCTGATTTCAGGAGTTTTGATGGAGCCTTTGTATACACCACCTGAGATCGGAAATTCTTTCAGCTAGTCAAATCTTTTTTCAAATTTATTCTAGCTATTATTAAAATCATTATTTTAACACGGCGCACGAACTTTTTCCTCAACCTGATATATAAAACAGCATTCCCTGAAAATTTCATCAAAATTGGAGCTTCACTAAAGTTCGCGCACGCATTAGAAAGCCCGAAAATAGAAAAGTTTTTTACCAATCGATAGCGCACTTGATGCTGATTCCGAATATGTGTTTGTCTGCCCAATAGCTATGTTTGATTTGTTAAAATTTTTGCGTATAATCCGATTTTCCGATGGACATGTAGAGCATGTTTCAAAGTATATTAATCATCCTTAAAATTACTGAAAAATCAACTTTCATTTTTTCATCAAAAGCCGGCCTGTTGCACACTGTGGATTTTCTGTGTTTTGTCATAAAAGATACCAGTTTTTCTTTGGGTGTCATGTTCTTCTTTCTAAAAACTAACAGTTTTATGTTATGTTGGATAAAGAGATTTAGATTTTCTTTTGATTCACTATACCTAACATTACACAGACAGTATAAAGCATCTTTAAGTAAAATAATAAGCTGTACAATACCAGTAAATGAAATTAGCATATTCTTCTTCTAATTTTCTGATTACCGTCTCCAACCATCATTTGGGGACAATGCTTGCCACAAGAAGCAAAAAACTTGTGTTGAGACCAAAATTGTACGAATAATACATGAACAATACGTTGATATCGATAAAAAAATGTATCAATAATTTTGCCTGAACAATTATAAGGAAAATCAAACACTTGAATAATCCATGAAAAACAAAAAGTGAACAAGAGCAAAAGAGAGAATACTTCGAATGAATAAATTTCGATCCAACTTTCGATCATCATTGACAATTAAACGGTGCTTGAAGTTGTAAACATCAACAAAAGCATAGATAGTTACAGCACCAATAGCAAACAAANAACGTGCGATTGTGTGAAACGACGTTCTTTCATCCAATTGGTTTGAATAATAAACCTGATCAAGCGATGAGAATAATAGCATGTAGTCGAAATACTATCACCTCACCACTCTCTCAGCTCGCGTCCTCACTCATCAAAGAATTAAGATCCTGTTGCCCGTCCGTTTCCACTATTATACAGGGAGCGAAAGGAAAAAATACATAAGGGAAAAAGAATAAATTATATAGTGTGTGTTTTTCTCAAATAGTTCTATATGTCATTCATTATTTTTGCAAACTGAAGAAGGAAGAAGATTCTTCCGAAACGTTTTTGTGAAATAATTTTTGTTAATAATTAATGAAAATTTAAAAGGAAGAGATTAGAATCCAAAACTAATCATTGTATGTGTGAGTTTAAATCAAATGATTTTGCATGATCTTGGACCGATGTTTGTCATTCGTTTTCCTTTTGAAAAATCACCGAAATTAGCAAAACCAACAAAAATCAGAAGAATTTGAAATGTCAGTGATCGCTATATATCAGCCATGATTACAAAATAAAAGGATGAATGGGACATCCATTTTAAATATCAGTTTTTCCGCTGTACATTTTGAAACTAAAGAATGGGCCATCAAATGGCCATTTAGTTGTGACAATTATTTCACTAATGTCTGTTCAAAATGTCTGTTCTTTACCATTAGAACAGCCAAAAACTTAGCAGTAAAAGCAATGACTGTTAACTACCCTTTTTTAACATTTTGTTGTATGTTAAATGCTTTTTCTCGGACCTTTCGTAACGATCATATAACAGACGATAAACTAACTGCTGACTGACAGTTTTTAAACAGTTATTTGGATGTTAACAGCCACTTTCTTGGCAAACATTTAAAACGCGTCACATACTCTATTAAATGTCGGTTATGTTTCACCTGGGTTTTCAATACTTCGTCAAAAATGCATTATTATTTTCAAATTTTTACGAAACAAAACAAAAACTGGTTATTTCTAGTTTTAAAGGAATAAAACAATAATGACGTATGAATGTAACGAATCGAGCACAACGCGCATTTTTGTTGTTCTTATTCAAATAAATACGACCGAAATTTTCTTCCAGCACGTTTCAGTTACACGAACAGTTAAAAGCAATAAAGAATAATCAGTCACCTTTAACAGATGTACGACTATTTTCTGTTGAAGTATATACTCTAATATATGATAATAATAGGTATCAGTATGAAGGTCAGCTGAAAAATGGTCTAAGACATGGTGAAGGCCGATGTATTTATCGACGTTCTGAATGCATCGAATGGATAGGTCAGTGGATTGATAATATGTGGCACCTGGGAACTGTTAAATGGAAATCGAATGTCATTGATTCTGGTAGATGGACAGGCGACAATGCGAAAGGTTCATTCAACAGTAACAGCGGTTATAGCTTTCATGGTGAATGGGTTGATCCTGCTATTCTTCATGGACAAGGAATTGATATTCAATCCGATGGTACACGTTACGAAGGCATGTTTAGGTATGGTTATAAATGTGGTTATGGTGAAGTTACATACGCTGATGGCAGTCAATACGGGGGAATATGGCATGCAGGTAAACTATGTATAAAACAGTTAGATATGACCGAATTATTAACAATGATGAAACAACAAACTAACGAAATGAGGAAATCGACCCTCTTTTCTAACACATTACATCTGATAAAGACACTTAAATATTTTGTTCATGGACAGATAACTCATTATACGCATTATACAGAAGAATCATATATGTTAAAAATGTTTTTGGAGACAATAGTCGACGAAGTGCTTCCAGAATATGTTAATATATTTATAAATGATTTTGTTCCATATACCAAAAAATACCAGTGGAACATACTCATTATTGCAGCAAGAAATGGTTACTATAAGGTTGTCAAACGATTACTTCAAAAGTTTAATGTGAATATTGAAATAGAAGCAAGTGTAGACTATGATGGTCTTCTTGTAGAGGGCGCCTCTCCTCTATGGTGTGCAGCTGCATCTGGCTACATGAATATTGTTAAATTATTGATGGATCATGGTGCACAAGTTAATCATCTCACCAGAAATCATTCTACACCGTTGATGGCAGCGTGTTTTGACGGCAATTTCGACATCGTGAAATATTTAGTTGAGAATGGAGCAATATTGGACATAAAAAATATATCACATGGACATTCGAGTTTAATGCTGGCTAGCTATACAGGTTGTGTTGCTGCCGTCGACTATCTGCTGAAAAAGGGAGCGAATGTAAATCTAATAGATAAAAATGGGTTCAACGGCTCTGCACTATGCATGTGAGCAAGACCGTGTAGGTATTATCCATCTATTGGTTAGGAATGGAGCTGTTTCAGTTAAACATTCAGCCGGCTTGACACCTTTGATGACGGCTGCTATTCAATCTTATTCATCGATTGTTGATTATCTGGCTGAAAGTAGCGCAACCGTGGAATCGATTGAAGCGTATAAACTTTTAGCCACAACTTACTGCAACAAAAGCTCAGAAGATTTGGTTAAAGTATTTGAATATCTATCGAAAGCAATGCAACTCCATTGTCTTCAACAATTGGTGCATGTTCCAGTAAGATACATACTTGAATCTTATTAAGATCTTACGAGAGAAGGTTCCTAAATGAGAAATCGTTTTTTTCATTAAAGACATGAAGATTATGTAATCAATGGTGTTGACTCTGAGTATGGTCATCGAGGATGGTCTTGGCACTTTCATTATTGGTTTGTGGAAAATTCTAGAAGCCAGTTTCTTTTATTCAAATTCAATTTTGACCTCATCAGCTCGTAGAGTGCATCGAGTTGCCTCCGAATGTATATTTTTTCGATTGGTGGACATGGTGTGACAGCGAACAATTTACTTTAAGTTTCTCATAAACCATTACAGTGAATATGTCTGACACGAACTACCATTAAAACAGGAGAAATAGTTCACATTCGGCATAAAAACGGATGTAAATAAGTTAGAGTAGACAATGAGATTCCACCTTGACCCTCAAACAACCCATATTTGCATTTATGTCTATATCGTTTCCAATATTCTGCCAAATTCATCGTCTTCCCTTACTTATGATAACTTGATCAAAAAATTGAATTGTTTACGACCATGTCCGATAGTGGAAAAAATATACATTCAATGTGCTCTGCAAACTGATGAGATTAAAAAGCGATTTTTAAACAAAAACGCCTGGCTTTTGGAGTTTTGCATAAGCCTATCACTGAAGAGCACAGACCATCCTCGATGGTCATACCCAGAGTCATCACCATCGATTACATAAGTCTTCATACCTTTATGCAAAAATCGATTTCTTACTTGGACACCTTCCATTGTTAGAGTAATGTTGAAGTTAACCTCACGTTTCTTTAGATAAATCTTACTAATGAGCGAACATTCCCAGCTGTCCAACCCCGATTACTTTCAAACATACATCAATCGATAGCCTGTATCTAGATCGTAAAAAGCTTAAACGGATTTATCCCCCCCTGCTCTATATGACCTTTCTTTACAAAGTTATAGAACTTACAAGAATAGCCCTAAATTAATTTCGTCTTATTTCTGTAGCTTTGAGCCGACAATGAACATGTAAGGCTTTTCTGGTAAATTCTATAACTTTCCAAAGAAAGGTCGTGTAGAGCTGGGAGACGTCCTCATTTTAATCAGAAATGTCCGGGCTACAATTATGCCTTGTTAAGATGATTATTTTTTTAGAGTTTCAGGAAAAGTGGTTTTTTTCCAGAAAACCGGGTCTTCAAGAGCCATGGGGATAAATTCTTTTACGCTTTTTATGATCTGGATACAGGCTATCGATTGACGTATGTTTGAAAGAAATCGGGGTTGGACAGCTGGGAATGTTCTCTCGTAAGACCTGAAAATTTAATGATTTGATAAGATTTTTTTTTGATAAGATCAAGATTAATTTTGATACGATTACCAGAATATAGGTTAGTTTGTCTAAGATTTTTTAAGATCCGGTGAAAGTCTGTTAAGGTCTTACTAAGAATTATCATATATATTAATAATCCAGAATCAGGATTTGGTAAGAACTTTTGAATACTTTGTTCAAGTGTTTATAACTTTGTTTTAAAAAGTCGAAGTCTGATTTGAGGCATTGTTAAAATTTGCAGTAATACAGACTCGAAGACGTGTCTTCGTGGACTTTGACTTGCATCGCAAAGTAGTTGAACATATCCAAGAGAACAAATACAAGAAGGAAAACGAAACCGTAAAAATCAGTTATATTTTTGGTGTTATTTATATAGCTCCATAAGAGCAAAACAAATAGATGATGAAGTAGAGACATCAAATCTTATTTAGATCTTAAAACGTAAGATCTTAGACGATCTTGATATGATAATCTTAAGAAGCACTTACGATTTTTACTAGAATGTCCCGTCATCGATAGAAGCGTATCAAAATCATGTCGAATGTCAAACACTACAAGATGTTGAAAAAATACGTCATAACGCGGATGCTTTACACATGCAATGTTTAATAATTCAAGAACGAATATTGGGTATTAAGAGTGATACATTATATAATTCGATTAGATATTCCGGCGCTGTTTATGCTGCTGAGAAAAAGTATGATCGTTGTATACTATTATGGATGAGATCAAACGAACTACTGAAAGGAGTCAATAAATGTCTTGGTTATGATTTGAAACTGTTTGCTCAACTATTAGGCGAAATGATTTTTAATAATGTTGAAGTTGCCACAAAATTATTAGAGTATATAGTAATCAACTGTAAGCAACAATTGATAACAGTAAAAATGGTATCAAACGATCATAACAGTAATATTCATGCCCTATTATACATGTGTACTCTGATTGTAAAAGTAACGTCTTGAGTGCTGTGTGAGTGGAACATGTATATTAATTCTCTATTTATGTTCAGGTAATGCCATTCAAATCGAATGATGACCAACTTTTTCTATGGAAGCTAGTTTCTCGCATAGTACACTTCAATTTCAAAACACCTGACAATAATTCCACATTGTTACATCTGTGTATGGACTTTAACACATCGGTAACAAATACCAGATTCAAGTATGTAGTTAACGGGAAATCAATCCCAGGTATGAACAGCTATTTGAAAGTTCGTATTTTGGGAATAGTCAAAGACTCAATTATAGGTTAAAAGAAATATGTTCTAAAGCGCCTATTAAGCCAAATTATTTGTCTGTTTTGTAACTAAAGATGTATCTTTAAATCTTTAATTCACTGGAAAGAAAATGAAGAGCGGAGCCATACTACAATTAATATGATTTTTATCTCACATAGCCAGAGTAGGCATGCACCAAATCGATAGTTCGGTCACCAAACCCTTCGCAATCGAACGTGTTCCGTCACCAAATGGTTTGTTACCGAATATGTTCGGTCACCGAACGGTTCGCTACTGAACATGTTCGCTGTCGATCAGCGAGCCCTCGCTTGGGATGGTTGCGTGCCTGATCTGGACTAAAGGCAAATTGAATGAAATTGAAGCTTTTGAAGGAAGTAACCAGTGAGAAAATAGATTAACTAAAGCACAATGTGAGCGAATGTGTCTTCTACCGGATCACTATCGAACGT